CAGGGATGGCCTTTTAAAATACTTCCCAAGATTGGATGTCAACCTTGACTCCTTAACATCATCAGATCCTTTCATGAGGAAATGAAGGGCACTGTGGTTTTTGATCGCTCAACATCAGATCTCTTTGACATCCGAAGTGGAGTGAAATAGGGCTGTGTCCTCGCACTGACCCTGTTTGGGATCTTTTTTGCCATCATGTTGAAGCACGCCTTTGGAACTGCAACAGAAGCTGTCTCTCTCTGGACTAGATCATATGGAAATCTCTTTAATCTCTCTAGATTGAGAGCAAAGTCCAGCTGAAATGCATGTGGGACTTCCTCTTTGCTGATGATGCAGCTGTTGTCTGTCCACTCTGACCTCCAACAACTCATGAATCATTTTAGCAAGGCCTGCCAAGACTTTGGATTAACAATCAGCCCGAAGAAAACACAAGTCATCGGCCAGGGTGTGGACTCAACTCCCTCTTTTACCATCTCCGCACAAGAATTGGAGGTTGTTCATGAATTTGTGTACCTTGGCTCAGCGATCTCTGACACTCTCTCCCTAGATGTTGAGCTGGATAAATGCATTGGCAAAGCAGCTACCATGTTCTCTAGACTCACAAAGAGAGTATTGCTTAATAAGAAGCTGACAACATGTATCAAGATCCAGGTCTATAGAGCCTGTGTCCTGAGTGCACTCCTGTATTGCAGTGAGTCCTGGACCCTTTGTGCATGGCAGGAGAGGAAGTTGAACATGTTCCATACTGTATGTGTTGTCTTCAACACATTTTTGGTATCACCTGGCAGGACAAAGTTCCAAATAGAGTAGTCCTGGAACGAGCTGGAATTTTAAGCATGTATACATGTCCTGAGAATAGCTGATGGTTGGATTCCAAAAGATCTCCTATATCGAGAATTAGTGCAGGGAAATTGCCCCAGAGGGAGACCACAGCTGCGATACATGGATATCTGCAAGCAGGATCTGAAGGCCTTAGGAATGGACCTCAACAGATGGGAAACCTTGACATCTGAATGTTTAGCCTGGAGGCAGGCGGTGCAGCACGGCCTCGCCCAATTTGAAGAGACACTTGTTCAGCAGGCAAAGAGGCAGTCCCGAAACCAGCAAAATCAGGGAGCTGTACAGGGGACAGATTGTATTTGTCTTCAATGTGGAAGGGATTGTCACTCTCAAATTGGCTTTCTTCACCACACTAGACGCTGTTCCAAGTCCTCCATACAGAGCACATTACCATAGTCCCTTGAGACTGAAGGACGCCCCTATGTAGGACAATACATTACACAAGTAAAATGTATTATTTGTTGTTTTAAATATTTTTTGCTTGTCTTTATGATCTGATTTGTGTGTATGTGTGTTGAAGTATGTTTGAAGTTACAATCTTTTTAAAAAAATAACCCTGAAAACTAGTTAGAAATAAATTAAATAACTATAGATGGGGAAGATGATTCATTGAATGGGGCTGCTCACTTGTATTTTTTTCCTGGCCGTTATTTTATTCCCAACATCAGTATTGCTATACAGTTAAGTTTCTAATAGATTTGCACACTATTTTAAATTAGTTACAGATAGTTATTATACTGTCTCTGCAGGCAGCTTTTTAGCTAAATGTTAATTAAGCATCAAGTATCTTAATTGAGTGCTGCTGGAAGTAAACAAATTTGAAAATATAGATTAAGAAAATGTCAGCTAAATGGAATGAAATACTTTGATATCTTTGCCTGAGAAATTACAAAGGGCACGTTTGAAAGCGAATTTTAAACCATTATAGATCTAAAAGCATTAAGTTGATGAGAGATTCGTACATGTTGTGAAATTTGAGAAATGTAGTGGGAAAATGACTGTACATCCTTCTTCTGTTTGTTTCTTTTAATGCTTGTATTTATTTCTTGTATGTGCAACTGTGATTTACAGGTGGGCTCATATCATGTGTGCAATTGCTATTCCTGAAGTCAGATTTGGTGATGTCACGGAGAGGAGACCAATAGACACAAGCAGGATACCTTTACAGAGATTAAAACTGGTAAGCAGTAATAGCCCAGACATCTTATATATAGTTCATGATTGTGCGAATTTGAAATGTATGTACATTTCATAGAGAATGATTGTGAGAATTGTATTTTAGAATTGTCACTAAGTACTTTCGTCTGTTTTAAATTTTTAACTTCTGTTTTTAAAATGTGGTTGGTGTGAATCAGTATTTTGCATGGTCAGTTTTCTTGGGCATTTTGCCAGGTCCTCAGGTAAAATGGTATAAGGCCCATAACTGCATTTCTTTATATACGCAACAGGTAGACAAACAAGAATCATGGATATAACTTATTATACCTTTCAACAAAATATATTTTGTATAGAGGCTTCTTCTTATCTGGGTTTCCACTTTCTTTCTTTACTCCCCCTCTGCTGAAAGCATTCTTGCTTACTTCCCAGCTTAGTGTGGTAGATTTCAGCTTTACATCACTTGTTAAATTGATTTTTTAAAGGAATGAATTTGAATGCCTGGTTATAAGCTACAGAGAACATTATGTGTGTTGTATGTAGATGTATGTGTGACGTTTGCCCCTCGTGGCCCCCGTTTGTCTTCCAAACACAGAGCACACGCGTTTGTCCCTCGTGGCCCCCGTTTTTCTTCCAAACACAGCACACGAAGGCAAACCAAACACCCCTCCACACGCTGCCACCAATTGATCACCAAGTCAGCGTACTTTACTTAGGAAAGATGAAGGTCCACCCAGTTCTCACCTCTTCCCAAAACAGGTTTATTAAGTACAGATGTTTCTTCAATAATTCATAAGTATTTACTTCAGGTTGATCAAGCATCAATCTTCTACTTAAATCTCACAGGTCACCATTCACTCCTCAGACTAATCACACCTCAGATCTCCCAGCTGTCTCTCCCTCTCCCTCCCTAACTCTGACTGAACTCTGCTCTCCCCTTCTCCTCTCAGGCTCCGCCTTTTAACATCTCTGGTGGCCCCACCTCTCAACCACATCAGCATAAAACATGAAAAATGCATAACCTATTCAGCATACTAAGGGTGAATGCCACAGCATGCCTAACGCATTTGGATGTGTTACAAAAATTATTTCAGAGGTCCTTATTGGTTGTCTGTCATAATGATTGACAGGGAGCGAATCAGCAGCAATAAGTGACGTTAACAGGCCATAGGCCAGTGAATGGGAAAATGGTGGTGACAATGGCAGTGGGGGAGGGAAGGGGGACTGTGTGACCAAAGTGAGGAATGAAGCTGATATGGCCCTGTTATGTAGGCATTTAAAATGCACCATCTAAGGATAAACATTTCTTTGTGAAAATTGACTGTGAATTTAAGTAGCACAGAGAGTCGAGGTGCTCTGTACAAAGGTTTATGTTTCTTTTTATAATGAGGAACTGAGGTGTGTAGGCTCTTATTGCTAAACAAAGTTAAGAAAATGCAAGATACATATCTGGGAGAATTCCTTTTCTGTTTAGTTCCAGAACCTGAGGGAGCATTGCTTTCTATCTAGATACAGGTTTACTATAATTTCTAGTTCTGGCCTCACACTGTAGTCTCAATGGTTTTGCTGCCCAAGCAACTTCTGACTTCCACTTATGGCTACTTAGTGACACAGGCCTGCTCCACTATACCCACTTCCACCTCTAGATACCCTAGGATGAGCAAAAGAGCCAAAAGCAGGAGTCAGGATAAGAGAGAGATCATTACAGAAATGGAAAGGCCACATGGAAGATGTGTGATTTGATGTCTTTATTGTCTCTCGCCTCTTGTTGCAGAGGAAGCCCCTGGTTAGAAGCAAAAGAAATGGGTTGAGAGGAGGAGGATTTTTAATGAGCTGGAAGCAAGGGAGGCAAGAGGCAGAGTTCCAGATTCTCTGTAACTGCTTTATAGAAGTTACCTAGTTTTCTTCATATAAGCACCAATTTCATAGTTTTTGGAGCTCTTTGGTTTGTTAAATAAAGATTCAGCCGTGAGTGTATCTAGCCAGACAATAATCTTTCACCCTGAACAAACCTTTGTCATAAGAAACCTAAATGTACCATATCGTATTGGATTTCTGAACCTAAATGGGCCGTAGCATATCAGAATTCATATGGTTTCTGTACCCTTGTTTTCACTTCATGTATCAATTTATCATTGAGATGTCCATATCTAAAAACAGGGAGATTGTTGACACTTGCTAAGGTCATGAACATAGGTGTTTATTATACATAGGAAGTTTATTATGCATATTAAGCCATAGTAGGACATGAACAGCAATTTACTCAAGCTGTTTTGGATTTTTTTGTTACCAGTGCTCATCTTCACAAAAAAACCGGTGTTGTGAGTAAAGGCTTGATGTCTGGGGAAAATAATCTTGAAATAATGGTCAATTGTACAGTTCATTGATGGTTGCCCTACAGAATTTTCTCTTTTTATTATCACTGGAAAAAATGCTTCTTTGCAAATCCTGGTTTGTGAATGTTTTTGTTTTCACTGCCTGCATTATGTCAGCTAACATTTCTCTTACTGGGAAACAGAAAAAAAACTTTTAGAAGTATATTTATCTTAACAAATAACATAATAAGATTGTAAGTAACATTGTATAATAATGTGGGTATTTGTGTGGCTGAAATAAACTATTGTGCACACACTCGCACTGTACATACAAAAGTAAATAAGATTATTTCTGTTGAAACAATAGCAAATTACAATGTCCTATGAAATATGTTCTTTTGTTCAAAACAAATTCTGGTTATGTTTGTATAGTGTGATGTCAATAGGTGATAGCATCTATCCGTCTTGGCATGTAGCAAGCTGATAACTGGTTGCTTGGTGTTTTGGCCTTTTACATAACACTGGATTATGTGTATCATATTTCTGAATTTCATCAGTCTCTTAGAAAAGGATAGACATTGGTGACAGGTAGGGAGGGGGACTCTCTATTACCTGTCATATTCCTTCTCTGAAAGCCTACATTTTTGGGGGTCCATGTACCTCTTTCAGTCTAATTATGGTTTGGAATAAGAAGGGATAGTCCAGAGGGAAGGAGACTTCTTGTTCACTTACCTCTTGGAAGGAATACTGGGTGGAACAGAATAAAAGAAAGAGAGAGACAGAAGGAAGGATCAGTTTTCGTCATTGGCCTTATCATTTCTGCTGCAATGCCTTGCAGACTGCTGGTTTTGTTTATTTTTAATTGAAATGGTATTCTGTATTCTTGCAATGTAATGACATGCATCTACAGTTTGTTGTAAATTTTCCACGGAGCACAGTTTGTACTCACAGAAACAGTTGTGGACTGTGTTCTCCATATTAAATTAGGTGCACTCCAAGCAACTATAACAGCCCTGTTTGCCATTTTACAACAAAAACTGGGAGATTAGACTCCATGACCCAATTTTTTCCTCTTCCTTGGCGCAAGTCAACATAGTTGTCTATGAAAAACATAATTATATGGATCCCAGAGTATCATAGATTGGAGTAATGTATCTGTGGGTCCGACCTGTGGCTAAAAATAAATGCCTCAGTACGGATCTCTGGCTATATGAGTATTGTTGCATTTGTCTTATTAATATCTCTTTCAGTAGAGTTCTCAGTAAATAAATGATACTGGGATTTGGACTTCTGCCTATATCTTGACCAACACTTTGCATCCTTTCTCCCTCTAAATACCGTATTTTTCGCTCCATAAGACGCACTTTTTCTCTCCAAAAAGGTGGGAGGGAAATTACATGCGTCTTATGGAGTGAATGCAGTAACCCAGGGTTCAGCCACCACCACCCAGAAGCCTCCCACTGCCATGCTGGGAGGCCTCTGAACTGGCAGCAGAGACTGATTGCTGTTTAGACCTCACCATTCTGCACTGCTAGCTTTCCAGGACCTGCTTCCTGCAGCCCACCTGGAAAACCAGCAAGGCAAATAGGCCTATGGCAGCAAACAGTGAAAATAGCCAAGGACCAAAGGGTGGTTCTAGAAACACCAGGGGAAACCATAAACACAGTCTCCCACTTAGGTAGTTAGTCAGTCAGTCAGAAACCTTTATTGGCATACTGAGTACAGTAAAACAGACAAATACAATAACATACAACTAAAATGTTCACTGGGTAATGGGTAGGAAGGGCCAGCCAAGAGCATATTTAGGGCTCTTCATTCTGCGAGACCGTGCTACGACGTCTCTGCATGATGGCATATACGTATCTGGCAGTTGACAGGGTAAGTTCCTTAATATTGCCACTTAGAAGATGCTGCATTTTCCTCAGATCATCCCATCCGGAATGGGAGGAGAGAAAAGTGCACAGATGGGACAGGCGAATATCCTTGTACAGAATACAGTAAAATAGCATGTGCTGCAGGGATTCAACCACTCCCTGACCACACGGGCAAAGTCTCAGTTCTATTGGTAAACCCTTGTACCTGCCCTGCAAGTAAATGCTTGCATGCAGAGCTGTCAAATAAGGTAGAAATAGAATGAAAACTTTCACAGAAGTATTATTTGAGGCCAGAAGCAGAATTA